GCCTTGCATAATTTTATAAACTTCTATCATGTCAACTCTTGCTCACCACTCTCTAAAAGATCATTCCAGCAACTGTTCCTGATGGGATCAAGTGAGCTTTGGGCTATGGTGTAATTTTAAAGCACATTCAAAGCACCGTCCTCCACTAAGAATTGAAAGCACTGCAGTTTATCCCTCACAGAGTTACAATCCTCCGCAACGCTTAACAAACTGCCCAGAATTATTGGAGGGTGGAAATGTGCTTTGAATGCATACCCAGCCAAAATTTGTGGTCATTTTGATCTATTTTTCCAGTCCCATTTCTGCCTCTTTCCACAAGCTTTCGAAATAGAGGAAAGTAAGTGTAAAGGTTAAGCTGCCATCAGTTGCTACCAAACCCATGTCTCTTGGATGTGAGATCACAGCAGCCATTACAAATAATATGAAAGAGGGAGAAATTTCCCAAGATAATTTGGGTTTTGCCTTGACAGTGGATGAAGATACACAGAAAACTGATTTCCATCATCCAGTTCCTCCCAAGCTGATAACTCTTTGGAGAACACCTGAACAGCTTCCTGGTCAAACTTAATCAATGCTTCATTTATCATTAAATCCATTCACAATATCTTACATTCAGACTTGCAGATGTTTTAATGATTGAAATTAGGAATGGAGTATGGTACTTCATTTTCTCTTTGCAAAAACCTGGGGAAACTGTCTTTGAAGTCTGCTGCATTTCCCAAAAATTAATATTCAGCTTTGCTAATGTAAGAACTAGCAGGTTTTCTTTTTAATTCTGATCTCTCTGCCTTACAAGGGACCCAGGAGTTGTGCTGATTAGCGCTCAAGACAGATATTAATAATTACTGGCTTTTAATATTTTCAAAGGGAGAGAGGACATTGTTTGGTTATACCAGCATACTTTGGGGAAACCTGAGACCTTTTGTGACGTGCAGAAGCCAGTGTAATGGGCTTTTACAAGTAGGGAGTGATAATTGGGCTTGCTTCACATTTCAATTGTAAGCCTGTCTAATTCACACTTCCCATAACAATATGCAAACCAAAGCACAGCTATCTTTTGAAATTTGCACTTCTCTAAATTTTGCGATGCTGATTCCAACCCCAAAATGTATGTATTAGGGAAAATATGCATAAAATGCATATATTAGTGAAAACAATATGCAAAAATGCAGTTTCAAAAATATGTGTGTTAGGCAAAATTGCATACCAAATGTATTAGGAGAAATGTGCAGTAAAATGCTGGTGGATTTTCATAGGGACTTTTTAAAAAATTACCAAAAACACAGTTTGTTGTTCTGATCTTTTTGTTCATACACCCCCCTTTTTTCTTGGATTTGGTTAATTTCATGCCTGAGGAAACAAAGCAGCTACTGGACTACTTTCTAATTTCCAGCTAATCCAACGGCCATTCCTGTGTAAATTGTTCCTTGCTCCCTCCCCCCCTTTTTTTCTAATATGCCTATTGGATGCCTTTTGCTGTTCTGTGTAATTTTCTCCAGAATCTAAATACGCTTTCTGGATTGTTTATCCATTGAAAGATTCATGAGGTGAAACCTAAAAACAAGATGAGGAATTATCTTTCACCTCCAACAGGCCAACGAGAAATTCAGGGATATCTAGCCTTTGATGAGTTGAGATTAAACAGAATAATGTGGAGGGGGAAAAACAACTTTTATACAGATATATAAATATTTCTACAATGACCTCCTGAGCTCTCTCGATTCAGCTTTGTTCAGTGTTTTCACGCTGGCGTTAGATTTTTCAAGCAGATAGTGATCCATCATTGATTAGCTGTCATGGGCTCTGAATGCTAATTAATGCATTTCAACTCTTCAACCTCCTTTAAATCAAAGATACTAAAAGCACCACAGTTTTCCAAGGCATGCAAAAGCCAGCACGACTTGAAAAGAAGAAGGAAGCCCAAGGACACTTTCAAAAGCGTGCCTAAAGTAAATATTCTTATTTTAAAAAATGAGCATGTCAATTAAGTATGTATGTAGCACCAGAGTTCTGAAACTTGCAACTGCAGCATGTCATGCTAGAGATGGCCACTGACTCTGATGGCTTTAAAAGACAATGAGGCAAAGTAACATTAGAAGAATCTTCTGGATCAGGACAATGGTCTATCTAAGCCAGCATCCTGTTCTCACAGCAGACAACCAGATACCAGCATTAGAAACTGAGATATGAAAGCTAAGAGCTAAATGGCACCTTAAACCTAGGTGATGGGCACAACAGCAGAATGTCTAGGCACACTTTCTTTAAAACAAGAATACAAAGCTGAAAATGAATGAACTGCAGCTAAAATATTATGTTCATTTTTCACATGGTTTAGTCCTTCCCCTGCCCACCCTCCTAATATTCTAAAGAGGGTCTCTTCTCCGGTCTTCAAAGAGTAACTGGAAGTGGGAAGGCAGAAAAAGGTGCTCCTTTCCTTCCACTCTGCAGTTTTAATCTGAAATTTTAGGTGCAGTGCTGTGCCCAGAGCTCAGAAACTGCTCACACTAATGCAATTCCCTGCCACAAAATGCGCCTAGAACATTGGGAGTTTCGAACACTGCCAGATACTTGTGGGAAACCCACAAGCAGGACCTGAGCAAAAGAACATTCTCCCCTCCTGCAGTTTTGAGCAACTGGTATTCAGAAACCCTTCTGTCTCCCTCCACATCTAGTAGCCATTGATAGCCTTCTCCTCCAGGAATCTGTACAATCCTCTTTTATAGCCATCCAAATTGGTGGCCATCACTGCCTCCTGGAGGAGCAAGTTCCATAATTCAACTATGCGCTGCATAAAGAAACACTTTCTTTTATCTGTTCCAAATCTTCTACTATTCAGCTTCATTGGACGTCTGTTAGAGGCAGAACTGGGTGCACCAGGAACTTATCGAGGGAAGAATTTGGATCTGAAGAATTGAAACCTTCCTAGTCCCCTGGCATGCCCACCAAAATGAGGGAGGTGGGGATATACCAGCCATGCAGCTGGAATAAACACTTTCCTCCCAATGGAAGCAAGGAGAGGGAAATTGTAAAACAAAGGGAAAACAAAATGCAAGAGAAGACCCTCCCTTCCTGTGCCTGGCAAGGCTTTTGATATCTCTGATATCCCTTTGGCTCTTTCCCAGCCTAGAGGCAGGATGCCTCCCAGCAGCAGGGCTGCTCCTATATTCCTGGGAATGACCGACATTGAACCTAATGGGAATTGCTTCTGAGTAGGTATGTGTAGGACTGCAGTTTTGGTAATGTTTCAGGGGTGTGTGGGATGCTGAAAGGCAGTTTCTAAGAATTTTCAGGTGGGGGTGGTGATCCTTGTTTACAAGATGGCCAAGGGGGCTTCCTCTTCTTTTGGATTACAACAGTGGCAAGAGGAACAACAGACTTGGCCCCACACTTTGAAGTGTGGTTTGGCTTGGCTTTCCTCAGCAGCGCAGTTCGATGCCAAACCACCCATTATGAAGGGAAACCCATAATTTTATATTTATTCATTTATTTATGGCTGTATTTATTGCTTAATGAAACAAAAGCAGGCTGGGGGAAAGGAGCAATAGTGCCGGGGTCAGATGTTTCACTCTTTCACCTGACAACCCCATAATCTCAAACTCACCTCCAGCTGCTGTCTACCTTGCATTTTCCCTCACCAGGGTAAAGGCAAGGGAGGGAGGAAGAAGAGAGATTGAGAAAGAGGGGAGAGGGTTAAGCATCCCATCCTCAGCACCACTGCCCCCAATTCAGTATCGTCCTGCCTGATTTTAATCCAATGCATGCTGACTTGGAGTAAGCCCTGTTGAACATCCTTCTGAGTAAACACGCACAGGATTGTGCTGGAAGTAAAATTCTGTATATCAGGGAAAGCCAACACTGTGCTGTTGTTTTGGACCACAATTCCCATCATCCTTGACCATTGGCCATGCTTGCTGGGGCTGATGGGAGCTGGAGTCCAAGAACATCTGCAGGCCACTGTGGTTGGCTACCCCTGCTGAATCTGTTTGGGAGATGCAATCACCCAGCTCTCAAAATAAGGGTCCATTTAAAGTAAGGTGGTGCAATGCATGGCCCTTTTGTGCCCCCTACCCAAGCACTCACACTGCCTTCCCAAAGCTGAGTTAGTGAGGTGCTGGGCTTTGGGGAGGCAGTGTGAGGGCTCTGACAGGGTCCTAGAGTCCTCCATGCTCCTTCCCAAAGCTTAGTTAGTGCTTTCGCAGCTTTGGGAAGGCGGTGGGAGAGCTCTAGGACCCTGGGATGTGTGTGTCAAATTTTGGCCTCACTCCCTCACCCCCACCCTGCAGGAAAAGCACTGCAGGTTCAAAGTACTCTTGTGGCTCACTTGGTAAGAAAAGTTGGGCTGCCCTGAGGTAAAGGATTCCTGATACACTCACTGGCTCAAAGGAGAACAGATTCAGTTTCTACACAATTTTGCATTACAGTATGTCCTTTTAACGGAATGGGGCATTGATCAGGCAGGAGAGATGCCTTGTTGCAGGATGGATAAAATACTCTTTAATTAAACAGGGCACATTAAAAAACGTGTGGCAAATTTACGGCAAGCTGTTTTAGTCATTTTTATTTCATTAATACTTCACAGTACTTATGGGTTATGGCTGAATTGGCTTTATAACTAATTAAACCTATTAAGTGTCTCATCCTTGCGAACCAGAATTGAACCTGTCCTTGGGGGTGGGGTGAGGTGGGGGTGGGGGTGGGGTGGGGGTTACTAAATCTTCCTTGGGACTGAACTGGAAGCGACAGAGGCAAAGCTAAATCGAAAACAGAACAGAACCAAATATTTCAGAGGATGTTTATTCCTGCTTCTAAGAGTGCAGCCACATTAGCATATGAATGTTAATAATGCCAGTTGGAATGAACATTCTGGGAATACAAAACAAAGTGCGATGACAGACAGGCATCTCTCACGAAAGCAACCTGACACAACGAAGGAAGACGTAACAAAGGGGTGGAAGGAAGGGGAAACAGCAGCAAGCCCCCTCCCCATTTGCCCCGTCTACCTGGGCAGGTGGCGGTATTATTGCATATCCGGGTCTCCCGCAACAACCCGCTACATAGTGTCCCGTAAGGCGATGAGACGCAGGAGCGAGTCCGCACCTGGGTGCCTTGGCCGCAGGTCAGTGAACAGACGCTCCACTGGGACCACTCCTCTGCTGCAGGGTCTCCTGTGGGAAAGAGGGAAACACGCACACAAGCATACAGACACAGAGAAAAACTGGTTCAGCCACCTCCAGAACAGACGGAAGACCTGAAAGTAGCTCTGATGCTCTGCCCACACACCTAGGGCTGGACAAATCAGGCTATTTCTGGTGGGCATAACTTCTGCTGGTGTTTGAGCATCATTCCATTCTGTTCTCTTTCCACATTAATCTGTGTATGTGTGTGCATGTTTTTTTTAAGAGCATCAAACATTTCGTGCAAATGTGTGTTCAAGATACTTATAAAATGTATTTTCTCTCAAGATGTCCATTCCCATTATCTGTCAGACTTCTGGGGTGTGCACTGACCACAAGGTGTGGTTCAGAGACCAAATCAGTGCCTGATTTAGAGTAATAGAATCAGAGAACTGTAGAGCTGGAAGGAATCCACAGGATCATCTAGTCCAACTAGTTGACCTCGCAGGAATGACAGCTAAAGAATCCCTGGTGCATCTAGGCCAGTATTGATTGATAGCAATAGCTCTCTAGGTTTCAGAGGGTCTCTTCTTGCCCTACGAGCTTCGGCATGCAAGGCAGATGCTCTACAGCTCAGCTATGGCCAAGCAGCCATGTATGTGTAAGGTTCAGAGCTGAAGTAGTGCACAGAGCAGCAAGCAAGCAAGCACAGTGTTTGGAGGAGGCTGCCACAGGCAAAATGTCTATCCTAACTGAAACAGCCAACTCAGAAGAGAGAAAACTAGCAAAGCACATAGAACAGACAAGATCAACATCCCTCCCGCAAAGCACTCTGGCCGGAGGGCCTTGGCAAATCCTTTTTGTGTGTGGATGGACTTGTTTTTAAAAATTGCTATATTTGTATTGCATTGCACTTTGTATTTATTGTTGCTGTTAAATCACTTCAAGATTTATTTTGGGGGGAAAACAATGCACAGAGTGACTAACAGACAAAGATAGAATCCCTTCTGATTAGAAGTAAGATGTGTCAGTCACAAAAACGCACACACATACTGCCTCACCCTCTCCCCACCCTGGCAATTTCCATATATTGTATGGGAAAATTGGGGAGAAACATTGCAATTTTGGCAGATCACGTTATCCACAGCTCTGTTTGGTACCAAATTTTCTAATTGCTCACAAAGCTTTGGGGGCCCCCAGTTTTGGTTCAGAGGGATTTGAAGGGAGCTCAGCCTTGGATAACTCCAAATTAAGCCCAATTTCACATAATCCTAGAATTGTAGAGTTGGAAGGGGCCTCTAGGGTCATCTGGTCCAACCCCCTGCAATGCAGAAATTGTAAGTAAAGAATCCCTGGCACATGGCCATCCAACCTCTGCTTAAAAACCTCCAAGAAGGAGACTCCACCAACTTCTAAAGGAGTCCGTTCCATTTTCGAACAGCTCTTACCAGCAGGGAGTTCTTCCTAATTTTAGTCCTATCTTGTAATCTGAATCCATTGGTCTGGATCCTCCCCTCTGGAGCAGCAGAAAACAAGCTTGCTCCATCTTCCACATGGCAACCCATCAGATATTTGAAGGTCACTATCATATCACTTCTCAGTCTTCTTTTCTCTAGGATAAACAGGTCCAGCTCCCTCAGCTGTTCCTCATGCTTCTTTGTTTCCAGAATATTCATCATCTTGTTTGCCCTCCCCTACACACATTCCAGCTTGTCAATATTCTTAAATTGTGGTGCTCAGCACAGGACACAGAACACCAGGTGTGGTCTGACCAAGGTTGAAGACGTACTACCAGTGCTTTTTTGGGGGGGGGATGCATACCCATAAACATTTTGTGAATCTTTGCACTTTTGTCCATTTACTGTATTTATTTTTCCCAATTTTAACTATAAAATGGTGATTTTCTTGAGTCATAATGAGAGTACCCCTAAACATTTTTTTTAAGAAAAAAAGCACTGGGTATTATTACTTGCCTTGGTCTGTACACCATACTTCTGGTTCAGGATTCATTAAAATCCAGTGCTCTTCCCTACAAAGTACACTTTTAAAACTGAGAATTGCATAAAAAAGCTGGCACTAGAGGTTGCAGTCAACTAACCTTTACTCAGAGTAGACCCATTGACATGAATGGCCCTTATTAACTTAAGTAAAGGTAAAGGGACCCCTGACTATTAGGTCCAGTCGTGACCGACTCTGGGGTTGCGGTGCTCATCTCGCTTTATTGGCCGAGGGAGCCAGCGTACAGCTTCCGGGTCATGTGGCCAGCATGACTAAGCCACTTCTGGTGAACCAGAGCAGCGCATGGAAACGCCGTTTACCTTCCCGCCGGAGCAGTACCTATTTATCTACTTGCACTTTGACGTGCTTTCGAACTGCTAGGTTGGCAGGAGCAGGGACCGAGCTCACCCCGTCACGGGGATTCGAACTGCTGACCTTCTGTTCGGCAAGTCCTAGGCTCTGTGGTTTAACCCACAGCGCCACCCGCGTCCCTCTTATTAACTTAGGTTTCATTTATTTTAGTGGGTCTACTCTGATTAAAAGTCAGTTGACTACAAACCTTAGTTCCAATATGCATGTTAGTTTAAAAGGTGTGGATTTGTTTCTGAATCCACAAAGATCAAATTCCTCACTCAATCCCATAACCTGCAATCTGCTGGGGGTGGGAGGCAGCTGGAGTAGTTAGGCATTTAGCTGTTTCCCACAGTGTATCAAACATCAAACAATAACCTGAATTGAAACAGAACCGGCTAATCACCACTGATAGAACTTCCTTACCCTATGAATCACCTCAAATGCTCATATTTGCTTTACAAATTAAACATAATGAGGTGGTAGAATTCTGGGCTGCATCATTTCAGGTCTGACATCAGGGTGTGGGTGGGTTTTGATGTTCCACGGACAAAAAGCTCCTTCCTGCAGGGAGAAAACTTGCGCACTAGGGAGAGGTTGCATCCAGAACCCATCTCCTTCATCTGTTTATTTTTGCACGCCACCCCAGTCTTCAAGTAGTGCAAGATTTCAGGGGTCCCAGGAGCTTGCCCAGGGTTCAAGTTTCATTTTGGAAATGAGGCACTGTGGAGACTGTGGTTTCTCTGTGGTTAATTTACACATATATACAATCTGAGCCTATGATGGAGGGGTTCACAACATCCACACTCAAAAAGTATCCTCTCTCAAAGCCACAGCCTTGGTTTCCAGCAGAATTCAGCCATGGCACTCCCTCCCCCTCCCTCCCTCTCTCTGCATTTTCAGCCTGCAGCTATTTGCACCTGGGCCACATCACATACACACTTTCAACTCTAAACTCTGGCTTTTGTCCATTTCACTATCAGCCCTCTCTCCTTTGCTTTCTTAACGGCCCATCTTGTTTCCTTTGTTCTCTTAATGGCCCATCAATTAATTGTCATCATCACCCCACCCCCCACCCGGTGATCACCTGAACACAGGAAACTAAGTTAATTTAGCTAACTAAAAAGCTAAGTTAATTAGCTTTTAACACATGCTGGGTCCAGGGGTTAGGTGTTTGGCACCCAGTTTAATACCCCAAGCCTTGATTAAATTCTAACACTTACTGGATCCAGGAATTTAGAGGGGTCTGGCACCTTTGAACTCATGACAATATACAAAAAAAGTTTCTTTTTCCATGGGAGAGGGAGCATACAGAGATATAAGCAAGGGGTACTACAATCAAGAATTCTACCACTTTGTTCTGCAGAAATCAGCCATCAAGTGAGTAATTGAGTGAGAAATGACTATGGGAACTGTATAACTTAGAGAGGAATTAAGGCAGTGTAGTTCAGGGTGTCCAAGAGGTGCTTGTACCCAACCCCATCAGCTTAGAACCCACCCAAAGCCTCTCAACACAGGATTTCAAAAAATCCACCAATTGCTTCTCTAACAAATACCTTTTATCTGTGGCACAAAAATATTTCTACCATCTTGCAGCTGTGTAACTTCCAGAGAGATGACCACACATCCATTCACTAATCCAACCACAGACATTATTTTTCCACTGGGGTCCCTTCCAACTCTACAATTTGATGATTCCGTGTTGAGATTCCTGCATTGCAGGGGGTTGGACTAGATGACCCTGGGGGTCCCTCTCAATTCTACAGTTATATGATTCTATTATATATACGACACGCCATATATATTTTTCACCCTTCAGAGCTTTGGGTAACCCTCTCATGTAGGAAAAGTAGGTTTCAGCACTGTTCTTTTGGACAGCTCCCTGGATGGATGGCAAGGACATCCTAATACCTGTCAGCTAAGATGAGTCTACTTTCCCCACTGGAGCAGCTACTGAATTTTCACAGGAACATAAGAATTTCCCTTCATAGAATCATAGAGATGGAAGGAACCCCAAGGGTCATCTAGTTCATTCCCCTGCAATGCAGGAATCACAGCTAAATAATCCAACAGATGGCCATCCAACCTTGCAAGACCACTGGTTCACCTAGGCTGCAGCTCTCCAGGGTTTCAGCCAGGAGAACATTCCGAGTCTTACTGGGAGATGCCAGGAATTGAACCTAGACCTTCTGCATGCAAAGCAGAAGCTCCATATACCACTGAGCTGCATCCCTTTATTTCCCTTTTGTTTCACCTAAAACAAAATTCAGAGTAATTCTGGAGGCATCGCCTTCAGTGAAAACATCTAAAGAATGGTGAGAAAAGCCTCTTCATCACTACATCACCATCAAGGAAGAAACAAACGAACTTTAAAGACCTCTAATGAAATTTCAGAGAAGGATTCTGCACATTCCTAAGCTACCACCTGTGTGCTCCTAAAATTAAAAGCATTCTAAAGTTTCCTGTTGAGCAAAACTTTTGAGCAAAGCCCAAAGTTTCTGTAAGGCCAAAGAGAGATTTCTCTGTGGGCTTTTTCACCCTGGCCTAAAAACTGACGTTTCTGTTGTTGAACTCTTGCAAATCTTTTCTGTAAAAATTTTTGTGGGCATTGGTGCATCTGAAAAACAGATGGCATGATTGGCCCTCTGCCCTTGAGGGCTCCCCACTTTTTCAGTCGTGCGGATGCCCTTCAAAAAGCTATAGTTGGCCTGTGGAGAAAATATGTGGACCCGTCATTTGCTGAAATATGAGGCGGTCCACTCCTTCATGACCCCCAGTCAAGGCTGGTGGCTGAGGCACAAACCTGGTTCAACCAGCCTGCCTCTCTTCCCTTCTGCCCTGAGCAGGCAAGGCATTGACATTTACAACAATCTGGCTCTTTATTAGACTTGATGATCTATCTGAAGTTATTGGACGGGCTTGCCGTAGAGGACATCCATTTAAATTACGGAGGAACAGATGGAGGAGGAAGGAGGGAGGTGGGTTACATTTTTCCAAAGAGCAAGAGAGAGAAAGAAAGAGAACGCAAATATTAGCCGAAAGGGGCGTCCATGTGAGAAGTCATTCCTGCAGAACACTGACCTTCAAGTATGAGGGTAAAATGGATATTATTGTGTGTGAGAGGGGGGTGGATGCCTTCTGTTACCAGAATGCCTGGAGTAGACAAAATAAGACTCTGCTAGGAAATAAGAGGCCCAAGCCACAGTTGGTGAAATCCAGTGTATTTCCAAGGACATCAGGAGATGTCAGCCTGGGGAGTATGGTTGCCTATCACCACGCTGTGTTTATCTTGATTTAGGGTCTTCTTTGCAAGCCAGGAACCAATGGTTTCAGCAGGATATTGAGAATGACTGGCATTTTTTTAAAAAAAATGTAGCTAGTCCGTAAATCAACGCTTTATCAGCCCATGGACACAACTGGATTTTTATAATAATTTTTGTAATAACAAAAAAAGATTTCTTTAGCTATGTTTGAAACAAGAGGAAGAACTAACAAGTAGGAGGTCCTCTGCGCAAAGAAGCTGGAGGAATGCTACTGGGTGACAGAGAAGGTGAAACTGTTCGACACCTATTCACCTCTGTTTTCACCCAAAAGGAAAGCAGTGCTTAACCTGGGAATAACAGAATAAATGATGCAAAGAAGGGAGCTGCAGCCCAAGACAGGAAAAGTGGTGGAAAGGGAATGCCTAGCTACTTTAAAGGAATTCAGATCTCCAGGGTCTGATGATCTGCACCCTGATTCCATTCATGACTAAGGGGACAGTGAGTGGGGAGGCTTAGAAGCTTCACAGGCTCCAGAGTGAGACCTCATGGGTGTCATGTAAGCTACAGGCACCACATTGCTGACCCATTCAGTAGCCATTGCACCAAACAAGCTTATTTATCAAGGTCAACAGACTTGCCACTATCTATATTTGCACAACTGGCTCAGCAGATCCCTCTAAATTCTCCAGGATTGTAGCTCCAATTGTCTTCGCAGGCAGTGCACACAATGGCCCAGAGACTATTAATCAAAGGCAAGGAGAAAGGGAGAGGAGAGGGGAAGTGAATGGCGTTCACATTACCCAGACGAATTTGCTAAATAAATACGCAGGAGCTAAACAATTAATACATTTGTTTTCTTTATGGGTCTCCAAGGAAGGTGCTAAGAGAACGCATAAATGGAGCAAATTAAACTCAGTTGCACCAGGGAGGGTGGTGGTGGTGGAAATAGGAAGAAGGGATAAGCGCACATCATCTCAATTCGCTGTCGCCATGAAAATGATGGGGCTCGGGGGATTGGTGGGGATTGAAGATGAGATGCAGGTTTTTCAGTCATTGGAGGCTGCATCTTAATTAAAATGCATGTGACTATTGGAGCTGGAGGAGAAGCTGGTGATGAATAGCTGGTCCCAGCTTAGGCGAGCTACCAGTTGTAACATCTGGCAGGCGTCTTCACCCCAAAATTGGTTGCCTTTGAGCAATGCAAGGCTATTGTGAACATTGTAAGACAATAATAACACCGTACTGGCAAAAGCACAGGCCAGCCTTTGCCAACCTGGTGCCTTCTAGACATTCAGGACTGCAACTGCCCAGCCCCAGAAAACACAGACTGCGTCTGAACACCAAGAATGCTCTTGTGCTTGAATCCTGTTTGCCGGTTTCCCTTTGGCGGATCTGGCTGGCCACTGTGAGAACAGGATGCTGGAACAGATGTATCCAGACGGGCTCTCCTTATGTTCCTATACCATCCTTCATCTAAAATTATTTCAGGATGCTTGCAAACTGGGAGGGAGAGGATTTGCTGAAATGTTTCATGGTGGGACATTGCATGGCAGCGAGCAGCTGTGGTCTCCTATTTCCATCAACCCAACTTATTTTAAATATATACTACACAGTATATATTTAAGTATTCTTGCCACCATCTCTTATTGGCAGTGGAGCTTTATCCATGGGGGCCAGCCTAAAGGTACCATTTCCCCTGTTAAAACAGAACACCCAACTCCAAAAACTAAGGCATTATCACTATGGAGCATCACTTTAGGAGCATTCTGGTGTGAGATGGAGCAGGAGGAATGATGGCATCTCTCCACACAGAAATGACAGCAGGAATTATATGCTTTAAAATTGGGGTCCCTCATGTGGGCACCACAGTGCCTTCAGGCATGACCCTCTGGGGACCCACCAAGGCCACTTGCCACTGAGATTTATTTTTTTATTTTATTTTTTGGCTTTTTGGAGAGATTTTATTTTTAGGGTGGAGTTCTGCTTATTTGTCTGTGTTTTATTTGTTTTGCCTGTTGCGGGGTGTGTGTGTGTGTGTGTGTGTGTGTGTGTGTAAGCATCACTAGTTTCCCTTTGTGAAATGGTATATTGGGGGCCCTTGGCTGTATTTTATTATTTTCAAATGTGTCCCAAGGACCCAAAATATGAGGGCCCCTGCTTTCAAAAGAGTTTTAAAAAAGAAACAAAAGTAAATCAGAGTCAAAGATACTGAACTGAATAACGGAAAGGCCCAACTTTCTGTTCATCCCTAGCAGGGAGGCACCTCCAATGAGCAACGTCTCAGTCAAAAGCCCTCAGAAATTAGGATATTTCTGCTAAAATGCAGAAGCTGTCTTAAAAAGTTGGCTGTCTCCTTAAAATTAGCAATGATTTCACAAGTCTAATCAATATTCAAAATCAGTGATGTTGCTAGACTGGTTGAGAAACTAACTATGCTTGTGATGCTAATGTTGTAATTTGCAATTCACAACACGGAGGTGTCTGAAAGCTCTTGAGGTCTCAGCATCAGCTGAGGGTTTATGGACTCCAATTCCCGATGGGCCCAACCACTCTGGCCAATGGATAGGGATGATGGGAGCTGTACTAGAACAACATTGCTTTGAACTGGTCATGTTGTGCAGATGCCCGATAATTGTCTTCCGAAGCAACTACTCTATTCCGAACTTAAAAATGGAAAGTGTAATGCTGGTGGTCAACAAAAGAGGTTTAAAGGCTATCTCAGGGCAAATCTTTTAAAAAAATGTAGTATAAACACAGACAACTGGGAAACACTGGCCTGTGAGTGCTCCAATTGGAGAACAGCCTTTACAAAAGGTGTCATGGGCTTTGAAGACACTCGAACTCAGGATGTAAGGGAGAAAGGTGCTAAGAGGAAGGCACGCTTGGCAAACCCTCACCATGATCAACTCCCACCTGGAAACCTATGTCCCCATTGTGGAAGGACTTATGAATCCAGAATTGGCCTCCACAGTCACTTATGGACCCACTGTTAAAACTGTGTTTATGGAAGACAATCTTACTCGGCTACGAGTGATCGCCAAAGAAAGAAGACTAGAACAACATCTGGAGGGCCACAAATTCCCCATCCCTAAGCTAGTTTAGTTGAAAACATAAAAGGCCTTTGCAAAAGCTATAGGCTGGTCAGGCGGGGGAGCTTCTTAATTCTTGGTCAGTGATTGTACATCTCTCCCTCAAGGCTCTGGAGGTTCTTACTTCAAAATCCTCTTATGGTGACTTTGTTGAGCTCTGTCTGGCCATTAGCACCTGAGACTTCGACAAGGAGCACTGATTATATTGGAAGATGAAACTTCAATGCAAAATAGCACAACTAGCACCACAATTTAATTTAGGAAATCAGGGCAAGTCGGTGGGGTGATAAGATTTCAAAAGTCCCCTAGAGAAGCTAATCCAATTCCAAGTTAAATTGAGGGGAGTTCACACATTAAAATCCTTTCCTTTTAAATTTTTCATGCTGCTCATTCTGATGAAGAACCTTAACAATTTGCTTCAAATTTCAGTTTAGGAGAATTCTGGTGAAAATTGAGAGAATACGTGGAACCTCCCCAATGCCCCCTCACCTCTCAGCCACCTCCCATCCTCAGAAACACTGCAAGTCTCATCAAAACTATGCTGTATTCCCTCAAAATTCCTGGTATGTTTCACCTCAGGAGGACGCCCCAAATGTCATTCAAAATGTGTTTGAGGTGAAAAGCTGATAGCAAAACTACCATTGAGTCCTGGCCTGAGACTGTGCTAATAGACTAAGTTGTGGCGTGGTTATGTTGACCACAACAAACTTCTCCAGTTTGCAAATATGCCCACGGACCCAATCACACCCCCTGGCACGTACTGAGGAGAAGACTAAAGACTGAACCTGGCTGCAAGGAAGGATTCCCTGAGAATGCCCTGATGAATTTCTCATTTCCCCATGCTTTCCCCGTCAAGGTCATTCATTACCTGTTTGTGCCATGTACACCCCTGGTTCATCTGCTGACCGCGGCCCACTGTGTCTTCACCTTCTGATCTGCTTCCACCCCATCACCTGAAAGAGGGAGGAAACCATGAAAGAGCTATCAGAGTTGGTGAGTGGAGAAAGTGGGGGAGGATGTATCTGCATGCTCTGAAGGGTTCTCTGTACTCTGCAAAATACCACCATCATCATCACGTGCTATCAATGTGCACAATATTTTACCAAGTAAAAGACAAGCTCCTGCCTCAAGGAGTTGCAATCCATTTGAACCTGGAAGGGCCACTGAAAAGATGGAAGGGTCAGTAAAACTGGGGAAGCAAATGGGTGGTCTTCAACCAAGTTTAACTCAGAGTAGAGTAGACCCACTGAAATCAATAAATGTAGCTCAGTCAGGCCCATACATTCCAATACTTTGGGTAAAACTTAGTTGAATACCACCCATTTGCTTCAGTTACATCTGGTTAGTTTCCCCATAGGGTGAGGCTGAGGAACTGAGCCAAAGGCATTGTGGGAAAGGTGGGCTTTGAGAAGGGGCTTGAAGGTAGTGAGAGGAAATTCTAGGTACAGTGGTATCTTGGGTTAAGTTCTTAATTCATTCTGGAGGTCCATTCTTAACCTGAAACTGTTCTTAACCTGAAGCACCACTTTAGCTAATGGAGCCTCCTGCTGCTGCCACGCCGCTGGAGCACGATTTCTGTTCTTATCCTGAAGCAAAGTCCTTAACCTGAGGTACTATTTCTGGGTTAGCGGAGTCTGTAACCTGAAGTGTATGTAACCTGAAGCGTATGTAACCCGAGGTACCACTGTATAAGTATGTAAAGTCAGTACTCATGTATCTTAATAAGGGGGGGGAGGTTGGGCTGGGGTAGGTTGACAAAATAGAAATTTATAAAATAATGGAAAGAATCATGTGAAACTAACATGCAGTAAGATGAGGAGAGACAAAGTGTTATTTATCTGAGTGTTTCATAAGCCACACTTTCTCCTGAAATAAGCGCACTCCAAGGGGCATGCAGGGGAAACTAATCCTGAATAACAAAACGAAAAGAAGTACTTCACACAAATGCACAGTCAACCTAAGGAAGCTGCGTGGGTTCCAAAAAGAGACAAGACTGGAGAAGGGCAGTCCTGGCAACAACTGCTGGAGCAGAGCTGCTTGTCCACGAGCCACACAACTACTGATTTGGTGAAACAGCAAGAAAAATGTAGAACAAATTTATGCACAGTGAAAGGAAAAATGTGCCAGTTCGCCCTAACTGCATAATTCAGACAAATCACAGAATCCAAATTTTCTTGGCAGGAATCTTGCATTGCCTGCACAACATTTTATTTTAATCTTAAAATGCAGAGTACACATGATCTAGGACTTAGCTACACTGGCAAAGAAAAAAATATATGCTTTATATGCAATGTTTATGCATTCTAACACTGTGACACCAGATGGCACTGTGGAGTTCTGTTTTTGCTAATCTGATTTCTCATACAAAGTTTGCAACATGTTTAACGGAAAAAACTTCTTTGATGTGTCTAGATCCAGCCCTGGAGGTTAGGCATAGCAAGTGTGCATGCGCAGGGCAAGAATGGTGGGTGGCTCAAGCAGGGTTGCCATATTTCAAAAAGTAAAAACCAGGACACCCTGAAAACTTTTTTCCCTGTTTACTTGTCGAAGATCCCGGACAAACTGCCGCCTTCTGGAAATCCCACCCCCCGGACATCACTTCCACAGCTGTTTGATAAGTTATCAGGAGTGTGACAATGAGTGGGTGTGTATGTGGATGAATAGCAGCCTTCCTGGCACACCAACGAATATGCAGCCCACCCACCACCACCAAGGGCTCTTGAGGACAAATGTTTGCCCACCCATGGTCCAGATGAGCCTAGTTCAGTATTGGGCCACTTCTAATGTTCTCCTGAAGTGGTGTCTTTGTTGCTGCACCAAGGACTCTGCCCTTTGACTGCTTCCTTCCTTTTGCACACTATCTATGGAGCTCCTCATCCCCATTGTGGACTTGGTGAGTCTCTGTTGTTTTCAAGTCTCCGTCTAGAGACAAAGGAACCAGCAGAGGTTATTTATGTACAGGGCAGCTGTGTGGAGATGAGGATCACAGAGACTGTAAGGCAGGAAATGTTACCCCATGCATACAAACAAAGGACACAGTGAGAAGTCAGGTGTGTGTGTGTGTGTGTGTGTGTGTGTGTGTGTTCATGAGTGTGCCTGAGAGATAAGTGAAACATCCACCTCTGCATTCTACGAAGTGTTAGAGTGTGCAGGCCTTCTTGCTCTCCATCAAGCAGAATACATGCCTCTGAGCAACAGTTTTGCTTTCAGACCTCTCCTTGGTGGCATCTGGTTCGTCACTGTGGGTACCCTCTTCTCAAGCAGAATTTGTTTTTTCCTCTTTGAACTTTCTCAGGGCAAAATTTAAAAAGACTCTAGTTGTTTCCTCTGCAAAACATTCCGCAAGAATTCAGTGTGTGTGAATGAATCTGAGATGAGGGGACGGATGTTTGAGGCACAGCTCAGTGGCAGAGCATTTACTTCAATCCCCAATGGCATCTCCAGGTAATAATAATAATAATAATAATAATAATAATAATAATAATAACAACAACAACAACTTATACCCCACCCATCTGGCTGGGTTCCCCCAGCCACTATGCGTAGCTTACAGCATACAGTCATACCTCAGGATAAATATGCTTCAGGATAAGTATTTTTGGGTTGTGCTCCGCAGCAACCCGAAAGTAACGGAGTGCGTTACTTCTGAGTTTCGCCGCTCGCACATGCACAGACAGTCAAAATGATGTCACATGCATGTGCAGAAGCGGCAAAATGTGACCTGCGCACGCGCAGATGTGCTATCACGTCTTACATTCTATTCAGGATGCAAACGGGGCTCCGGAACGGACCCCGTTCGCATCGCGAGGTACCACTGTATATAAAAACATAAAAACATTAAAAACCTCCCAATACATGGGCTGGGAATGTCCTGAGGCTGAAATCCTGGAGCATCACTGCCAGTCAGTGTGGACAATACTGAGCTAAATGGACCAAGGATTTGACTCAGTATAAGGGAACTTCCTATGTTCTTAAGTTTGTCCACCACCACAACAGGACGGCCCCCACTTTAAGTGGGCAATTTCTATCTTCCAGTTTCCCCTGCCTGCTTGTGGGGGTTAGATGGGGAGCATTCAGAATTCTCAAAAGTACTTCATCCTTCCAAAGCAAAACCAGGAGAGAGAAGCAGAGGGAAGTGATGGGTCAGGTTAGAACTGGGCGTGGCAAACTATTCATGTCAAAGAAAATAGTTTTATTCTGAGCCCAGTTCAGACCCTGTCACATGGCAGATGACATGGCAGCACAACAAGGTTGGATTCCACCCCTCATTCTCCAGCCCCAATCCCGATTCCTCAGTGGCATGGGAGATTTCCCAGAATTCCTGTCACTCATGGCACAATTACAATAATGGTCCAGGTGCCAGGGAGGGAGAAGATTTGGGCATAAGAAGGGCCTGGCTGCTGGATCAGAGCAGAGACACATCTAGTCCAGGTTCCTGTCATCACTATGGTCAGTCAGATGATGGTGATAACATTAATTTTCCACCCTTCAGCAGCAAATTCCAGGATAGGTTACAATTTGACAAGGCGACTCCTATTTGGGACATGACAACCCATTACTGCAAAGAGTGCTCTGAGGGAGGGAGCTTGGACTGAATTCCTAACCATGACCTATAATAAATTTGGACGCAGAAGGGAGACAGAATAAATGAAGTGTGTGAGGGTGGTGGGGGAGGTGTCACTTAAACTACATTTCTCTTGGCCTCTCCAGAAGAAGTAATTGGCACAACATAGAAGCACCAGGTTTAGGCAGAGTCTCCTGGTCAGTTTCCACTCCAGCTCTAGCACCTCTGGGAACCAGCATATCTCTCTCTCTCTCTCTCTCTCTCTCTCTCCATGTGGTATGTAACAGGCACATGCAGACCCACAGAGCCCTTCTTCCTCCCCGCCACCCTCGAGATGCACTTAACAGATTGCTACAGTGAGATGTCACAAATTTATGGCTCAGCTCACGAAAAATAACAAGAGATCCATCAAGGGCACTTTGCGTGAAATTAACAGGAACGTATAAAAGCCTGACAAAGATGCATTGTCAGCTGCGAGTCAGGAAGGGGAAGAGAGGGGAAAGGAGAAGGGGCTGTTTGATTCTTTCCCCCTTATCCTACTTTCCCCATCAAAGGTTTTTTAAAAGCCACCCAGGCAGCTTACACACCATAGATTTAAAGGACATCTCCTTTACCTCCCCCCCAAATCCTGGGAAATGTGGTTTACCCATCACAGAACTATAATTCTCAGCACCCTTAACAAACTAGAGGGCCCAGGGTTCTTTGGGTTTGGGTGTGTGTGCTTTAAATGTATGGTGTATATGCAGCCCTAGTCTGGAGAAGGGGGTCTTTCTCAAATACAAAACGAGAAGCAAAAATCATCAGTCATGGCACTTATGCCATGCTGGACCAATCAAGGGAATTTGTGCTCTCAAAGGGGTTGAATCGGAAGCCTTGCTTGTTTAGCTGTTTGGCCCTGGGTGCACCAGCGCAGGAGGATGAGGCATCAGCGCCTGCGATGACCAGGTCTGGTATATGTACCCAGAGCCCAACCTCCTAACCTAGTATGGACAACACAGGTGGGCGTCTTTCCTTAAGGCTTTAGGACAGGGGTACAGTCACCTTCCTTCCTAGGCAAGCTTCTCAGGGATGGTGGGGGCACATACAATTTATGTATGATTTATTTCATAAAAGCTATACACTACTTGACTGTTTTTTTTTAAAAAAAAAGTCAAAGCATATAAATGTAAATAAATAATAATAATAAAGCAAAAAAGATGATTGAAAGGCACTGTAGGCTAGTTTCCAGGCACCGTCTCACATCCCTCTCTTTCCTCCATCCAGGCAAGCAAGAAACATTATCAGAATTCAGAATTCCAGGCAAAAACCCTCAAGGACAGTGAGATGGAGGGCCAGCAAAGGGTGTGACCTGGAGAAAGTTCCAAGGGCCAGGTGGAGAGGAGCAGAGGG